TTTGCGTGTCGGCGCTGGGGTGGCTGTTGAAGAGAGATTGAGGCAAAGAGATAAGCTAGACTCTCACAAAGCCTCAGTGTAGAGCACCGAATGGTATACCATAGGCAATCCAAGAAGGAAGGCCTGTTGCACCCCTTCCTCAGCACCATAAACCCTAGATTTCCCTTGCTCGTCTTTGTCAAAGTCTGACAAAAGGACCCATGATGGCCTGGACATCAGGACCACATAGACTTGGCCCAGATGAAGTCATGATTGTGACATTCTAAGTTAGAGCACTCATTGTTTTCTATCAGAAGCATTTTCCTAGATTTCCCTGGAATTTGTAGCACTGCTTCTAGTGAACAGCAGGATGCTTTCTGTCCAACTGGCTTCCCTAAGCTGGATGAAAGACGTAGTGTGAAACATTGTTTCAATGGAAAGATGAGTCTCAGCTCCATACAACCCCCTGCAGATGAGCTGGAATATATCTTATTTGTCGGCTGAACACGGTTTATAAGAATTCAGACTGATTTTTCTTCTACTTAAGAAGAATATCTCCTTCATTCTGGACCATAAGTTCACTGTTTGGAATATAGATTTCTAGAAAACCTTTAAGGCCGAGCTTAGAAGAGGGGGCATTTATTACTTGGGTATTTTTGCAGATTTGATGAGAGAAAAGGCAAGGTTCTGAGAAAGAGTACATAGGAGCCAGGTGTTTTTAAATCTTAGCCAATACTTCCGATAGTAAAGTTAAATCTTTTCTTTGAACAACCATTTCAGTCATTAATATTATGAAACATAATCTCTGCATTTTAATTATAACTGTTAATGAATATTATTTTTTTATTGCCAGGTACACCTATGACAAAAATTATGGAAATGCTCTGGAAATATACTTAACGTTAAGACATAAAGATGTTTTCCAGCTGATACACAAGCATAATCTTTTCAGCTCCATCAAAGATAAAATAGTTTTGTTAATGGATTTTGATTCAGAGGTAATGTGTTTCTTATTTCTGCATATTAACTACTAACTATTCAAAGGTTTCATCAGTGGCTACTTGTCCAAATGAATCATATTCTTGACCATATACTGGTCATGCTAAGAACCCTCTGACTCATAATGCATGTTATTTTAGTAGTTGCCTTTCTGAAAGCGACTTCCCACCAAACCTGGCAAACCAACTCTGAGCTCTGGGGACCACATGGTAGAAGGAGAGGATCAAGTCCTGAAAGTTATCCTCTGACCTAGACACATCTGCATGCCTGACCACATACCCTTGGAAACAAAACTAAGTAATAAAAATTTTTTTGAAGAGAAAAGCTAGAATGTCGGATTAAAACAGTACCTATCTATTTCTTGTCTATAAAAAAGTATACCTTAGGTGCAAAGACAAATCAAGCCTTAGGGTGAAAGGATAGAAAAAGGTATTCCCAGCAAATGGAATGTAGAAAACAGGTAGGTGGCGCTATTCTAATGTCTAACAAAGTGAACTTCAAACAAAAATTTAGAAGAAATAAAACTGCTTCATATTCAGGAAAGTCCATCAGGAGGATCTAACAGTTTTGACCATTTGTGTACTGAGCATTGCTTTATGAAACAGTAGAACACAGAGGTACAGTTTGACAGGCACGATAGCAGTGGGTGACTTCCGTGTATCACATTTGTGAATAAACAGTTCATCTTGACAAAATATTTGAAACTGAGGCAAGGGATAAGTGACATAGAGAAAGGGACTTCCCAGAAATCTATAGAATTTCCACTCCTGTTCTATGGAATAACATTCTCAGCACTTGTGGAACTTTCTAGATCAACCACATTTTATTGCATAAGCAAGTCTTAACAGATTCAAGGAAATCAAAACAACTTATTCTGTCTGATCATAGTGGAATAAAACTAGATATCAATAAAAATTACAGAAACTATGCAACCTTGTGAATATTAAAGAACACATTATTGAGTAATGTGTAGAGTACCACAGAGATCAGGAGCGAAAATGAATGCCCTAGAATCAAATGAAAATGAAAACACAGATATCAGTTCAAGGGAAATACAATGAAAATAGTTCTAAGAGGGAAATGTGTATGAATAGGAACTTATATTAAAGACACCAGAGATCTCAAGTAAATAACTTAATGATTCATTCCAGGGTCCTAGAAAAATAAGTACAAGCCAAACTCCAAATTAGTAGATGGAAAAAATAGTAAAGACTACAGGAGAATGCCACTGGAGACGGGTTAGTGGTTAGGAATATTCACTGCCCTTGAGAGGGTCCATGTTTATTTTCCCAAACCCACATGGAAGTTCACAACTATCTCTAACTCCACTTCAGGGGATCAGTGCCCTCTTCTTAACTCCATGGGTACCATGCACATAAGTGATGTAATACATTGATGCAGGCAAAACATTCATATGCACAAAATTTTAAAATACTTTAAAATCATGGAAAAATATATAAAATTGAAATGAAAAAAATCAGAAAAAATAATTATGAAACAAGACTTTAGTTCTCTAAAAAGATAAACATTGGCAAACGATAGCCAAACTAACAAAAAATAATTTCTAGACACGTACCTACCAAAGTTAAACCATAAGGATGTGAACAGATTAAACAGAGACGTACCAAAGAACATGGAATGGTTGAAGAAATAAAACATCTCCCAGCTATAAAAGACTAGGCTGAGATGAATTCATTGTTGAATTCATCAGGGGCTCCTCAGACTGTTCTATAAAGCAGAAAGTGAAGGAACTCTGCTCACCTCTTTCTATGAAGCCCCCATTTCCCTGATACAATAACAAGGTAAAGATACACTTAGACACAAAAGACAGTGCAGGTTAGTCTCTCTTTGATGTATGTAAATACCAAAGATCTCAGGATAATACTTTCCAATTGAATTCAGCACAAGAGAAAAATCTTTCACCAGAACCAGGTTAACTTCTTTCCTGGAATACAAGAATGGTTCAATAAATGTAACACATTATATGTCAACAGACCCTAAGACAGAAAGCACAGCCTTACCAGAGTAGGTGGAGAAAATTACCCCAGAAAGGCATCTGAAAAAGCTCAGCATTCACTCATAATCAAACAAAAATAGAAGTAAAAGAAATATACCTTACCACAATAAAGACTAGATACAACAGACGTATAACAAACATATTTGCAGGGAAATACATGGAACTAGAGATCGTGTTAAGCAAAATAAGACCCAGAAAGGTGAATCATGTTTTCTTTTGTGTGAATCTTAGATTTTATACAGATATATGGTCATGAAAGTAGAAATAAAACTGAGAGCATCTAGCGTAGAGGCACACACTTAAAGTGTACACCTTTAATCCCAGCACTGGAAGGCAGAGGCTGGAGGGATGTCTGAGTTGGAGGCCAGCCTGGTCTACGTATCAAATTCAAGGCCTGCTAGGGCTATATAATGAGACTCTGTCTCCAAAACCTAGGAGAAAGGAAGGGAGAGAAGGAAGGAGGAAGCAAGGAAAACTGAGGGAACTGAGAGACTAAGAACAGAAGAAGCTGAAAGAGAGTATGGGGAGGCGGATGCGATCCAAGTTTGTGGAATACTTGTCTGGACATCTTCATGAAACCCAATTACTCTGCACAGTGGATGTGCACTAATCAAAAAGATGAGATGCTTATATAAAAACTAATAACAGAGTGAGTACTCAGCCAGTAAAGGCACCTGTCACCAAGCCTGAAGACCGAGTTTAATCCCTAGGAGGGAACCTACTCCCCCAAGTTGTCCTCTGGCCACACGTGCTCTGAGGCATGAATGCATGTACATGCACACACACGTGTAATTTAGAAGACTTAATTACATTCCCTTTCCATTTTCTTCTGTGTTTCAAAGCTTAATTAGCATATGCACCAGTGGGAAAGAAATAGCTGAAACTGTTGCTATTGAAGGAATTTGAGCTAAGGTTAGGGTATCATAGTTTTCTAGTTAGAAAAGATCTTTGTAATAATTGAACACCCTTATGTTTATATAACAAAAATAACATTTGGAACAGACATCAGGGTGGTAGCAAAGTCAGCCAGACAGTTATTCTATTTGGTTGGCTGTCAGCCTTCTACCTCTTGTCATGAACTAATTAGTGTTTTATGACTGCTATAGATGGTATAGAAAACTGGAGTCCACGAGTTTTGTATATTTGGAGATTTCAGGTGTTTCCTTTGTTTCCCTTTGGTTAACCTGTTCTCGGAAGGCCAGCTCTTACTCACTTCTGTGACTGTGGTAATGTGATATTCTCCAGAGCTACTCAGGATGACATGACAATTTGTAAACAGCTCAGATGAGACATCAAGGGGCTAGAACATGTTGCCTATTTTGAATATAGTAGGAACTTTTGCATTTGGTAAAAATAGAGCAGTGCAGCGGTTTAACAGTATACAAAACACACAGACTTCAGGTTGACACACGTTTGAAGTTGTATTCCTCAGCAAATGGCATTTTGAATAAGGATTATTTATGAAGCTGTAGCTAATCTTTCTCTGTCCCACCAGCCAGCTCCCAAATAACCACACAGAGACTTGTTATTAGTTATGAAAGCTTGGTCAGTACCTTAGGTTCATCCCACTAATTCTTATTTCTATCTTAAATTAACCCATTTCTATTTATCTATGTGTTTCCACATTTCCCTGTCCTCCTGGATGTCTTGCTCCCTCTGCATCTGGCTCGTGACTCCTTTCTTCTTCCCAGCATTCTCTCTGCCCCGAAAAATCCTGCCTAGCTATTGACTGTTCAGCTTATATTAAACCCATAAGAGTGACACATATTCACAGTTTAACAAACGACTTTTCTACAACATGAAGCTCAGTGCTTCTAAGTGTAAGAAATAAACACTTGGCCTGTAACCATGGTACTGCATTTTGTTTCGTGTTCGTGTGTGGCAGACAAGTGACTATGGCTGTGTTTGTATTTCAGAAAGCTGTTGACATGCTTTTGGACAATGAAGATAAAATTTCAGTGAGTCTTTTTATATGTAATAGACCAATTTTCTGTTGCTAATAACGCACCACAGACTAAGCATGCTTTAGAGGAAAGAGGTTGCTTTGTCTTATGGTCTGGTCCAAGATCAAGAAGCTGCATTTGGTGATGGCCTTTTTGCTGGCAGAGTGGCAAGTCAGTGTGGGGTGTTGCACAGCAGAAGACAGGATGAGCCATGTGGGAGGTCAGGGGTGCACCCTGGAAGAAAGAAGGCGGCTGTAAGGTGTCTGGAAGTGGCCAGTCTCCTTGCTCTTTTATAACTATCTTATCTCATACAACCTGACCCTCTCATAGCCCAGCTTAATCCCTTTATATGGTAATCAGCCACCTCCCACTAAATCCTTCTGTTTAAAGAGTTTTACCACCTATTTTGTGATAGGATCACCTTAGACATCAAGCATCGACTCAGGTTTTGGTGGGTCAAACCATAGCACGTGGTACTAGACGAGGGTCTGCAATACTGTGCCTACAATACAGTGTATCAGGTAATTTGTCAATGTGTTGTCTCCTCATAACTGCATTATATTTCATATTTTTCCTCAGATTAAAAAAGTAGTAGAAGAATTAGAAGACAGACCAGAATTGCAGCATGTGGTGAGCATTAGTCTTCTTTGCCCTTTTAATTCAGCAGCAGACAGAGCGCCTGTGCATTGTGTGGGAGTGCCCATGCAGAGAACTTTTCTTAGTGAACACTGCTCTCATTGGAGCTTTGACCACAGACAGTGTGCAGGAATTACTAGAATGTAACACTTGCTGTGACTTTGTGGCTAGGAATTAACCATAGGACAGACAGGTGGTTGAAGTTTGATTTACAACTACTGAATTGGGACTTTTAGAAAAATATATTGTTTTTCTATTCTCTACCATCCTATGCCTGGGGTAAATGCTTTCCTCTATAGCTGCTATTACATATAACCAAGTCATAAGTCATAGCACAAACCAGTAGTACACTATAGATACCAAGTCCTGTTATTCTGTGTTCAAGACCATAGAGTGACCAAAGAACAGATTTATCATTTTCCCCATACCTACACTGTAGCTAAATCTGCCTATTCTGTATAGGTTTGGGGGGTGTATTATGAAGGGTGTTGTCTAGATTTCCTTAGAGGCTCCTTTGTTTCCATGTATCATGTCATCCAGGGAGTAAAGCAGGAGTAGTGTCTTAACTTGCTTTCTATTGCTGTGACCAAGCGCCGTGACCGAAACCAACTTGGTGAGGAAATGGTTGATTTCATCTTACAACGTTCAAGTCACATTGTATCACTGAAGGAGGTCAAGGCAGGAATGCGGGCAGGAGCTTCAGAACAGGGATAGGAGCAGAAACCATGAAGGAGCTCTGTTTACAGCTTGCCCCTCATAATTTGCTCAGTCTGCTTTCTTAGACACTCCAAGACTACCCCGGGGGTGGCACAGTGGGTGGGGCCCTTTAACATCAATCATTAATCAAGAATGCCCTACAGACCTGCCCATAGGCTAATCTTATGGTGACATTTTTGTTTTTCAATTATTAAAGTTCCTTACTCCCACATATGTCTAGGTTGTTTCAGGTTGACAAACAAACAAACAAACAAACAAAAAAAACAGCACAAGGCGGTATTTTCTATATGCTTTAAAAATGTAGAAAAGAAAAGGCTTGAGGGGCCAAGGGGATCATCCCAGTAGGGATGGTCTTTTCTCTAGAAGTGTAGTATTCTATCCCACAGCCAGCTTCTATGCTGAAGTTGGTAAGGATTCATGGATGGAAATAAAATCTGGATATATTTGGTTTCGTTTATTGCTCAGCATTTAATGCAGATACTGTTACCATAGTTTTCATGACCACAAAATCTTAAGATTATCTGCTTACCCAAGCAAGGCTCCATTCTGCTAGCCATCTTAAAATTTTGTTTATAGAGCAACAATTTATGATGTGCTAAGCTATAATAAAACAGAGGACAGTGTTGCTCTGTGACAGTGAACCACTGAAGAGTGTCCGGTACCCCACTAAAACAGTCATCCCTACCACCCGGCAATGTAGTGCCTGCATCCTGTGTGGCATGAAAACACCTATTCAGGCAAAGTACCATATCCTGGCCATGTCCAGACCCCACTGCAGGCTGCCTGTCAGCACTCCCATCAGATTTAGTGCAGCAGATGAGCTCAGGTTTGTTGTTCCATGTCCCCTTCTTGCCGCAAAGAACTGTGGACAGCCCGAGGGATGCCTCTTGAAGTCCATGTGTTGGTCTTGGTTTGATATGCAGCAGCAGTTACCTCACAGCTCCAGGAAAACTGAGCTTCTTTATCTATTATGAACCTATTCACCAGGTTACAAACATTCATGGTATGAAATACTTTCTGTGCTTAGTGTAATTGTGGCTTCCTCCCTCTCGGGGGTTATAGGTTTGTGTTTGTATTTAACATTAGCACTGACTATCCGTTTTGGGGTGTTACATAATAAACTCAGTCTTTTCAGTAAGTAGAAAGTGGAAACCATTATTTTTAGAGTCCAGCTGCATGAAACAACTGTTATCTTTTTATTATTTTTGTTTTTTGATGCCATCAATACAGGTACTACTTAATTCCAAAAGGATTACCTTAGTTCTCTAAAAATTGATATATGGAGTGTGTAAGTATTTAGTTCCGGCTACAGGGTGTTTTTTAGAAAGTCATGTTGTAGCCCTGTGCCTTTTTATGTAAGAGAAGACAATATTTTAAAAGACTTATTTTAATTTTATGTGTAAGAGTGTTGTTGGGCTTGCACGTATGTAAGTGCACTGCAGGCTTGTTGGTGTGCATGGAGACCTGAGGAGGGTGGCACATCCCTGTAACTGGAGTTGTGGACAGGTGTAAGCTGCCATGTGGGTGTTAGGAATCCAACCTGGGTCTTCTACAAGAGTGGCAATGCTCTTAAGCGCTGAACCATCTGCCCAACCCCAAGAATAGAATTGTTATCATCTTAGACTGCTACCTGGGCATGTGATTTCTGCAGCAAGGAGATGATGACTTTAAGATTTACCATCACTAATGCTTGTGCTTAGCATACACCGGGCCTGGTTCTGCATGATACACAAATGGTAATTACTTTGAACCAGTGAAGACCCCAAGTCACAGAGTGAGGAGGAACTTGTCTCAGTTCACATAGCTGTCAGTGGCAGCCAGTCCAACCATGAACCTTCTAGGAGGGTTTCAGAATCTACTCCCGAAATGGCATTCTCCTCCCCATTCCTCAAGTTATTCTTGCTGTGTCTCCTAACCTCCATGGAAGGTGTTAACAACTGAAAGTAGTAAAGTTAACCAGCTATTTTATTCTTATTCTGATATCATGACTTATCTTGTTCCTTTTAGTATTTGCATAAGCTCTTCAAGAGAGACCATCATAAGGGACAACGCTACCATGAAAAACAGATCAGTCTGTATGCCGAGTATGATCGGCCAAACCTCCTTCCCTTTCTCCGAGACAGTACCCATTGTCCACTTGAAAAGGTAAGTCACTGTCTCACTGGGCACATCAGAAGTAGTTGTCATTTTTGTAAGACTTTTGTTGGTCTTCTCTCCCTGACTGTGTTCATCCCTGTTCAAGAGAAGGCTGCTGTTGAACCAGTGGGTTCTGCCAGCCCATTGTGGTGAACCATGGTCCTTTGGGTTAGACTTTTGGGCAGAACAGACCTTCTGTAACAGGCTTAATTTGAATAAATATTTAATCCATTGCAACAAATACCAAGATGAAGTGATATCAAGAGTCTGCATCTCTTTCTCAGAATTAGGGTCACTGGGGTAAGAGCCCGAGAGTGGGCACTGCCCGAAACCGGTGTAGCTGCTACAGTCAGGAACCCAGACTGATAAACAGAGGGATCGCGCCCATCTCTTCTCAGCATTTGCTGCTGAGCTTCTGTGTTTCTCCAACTCACTGTGTCACACTGTAACTGCCTCAGCTGTCTGACTTCCTAGTCACCTGAAAGTCTTTGGAGGACTTTGTCAAAGGAACTTTGGACTTCCTTTGTCCAAAGTCAAAGGAAGGACGTTGTCTACTCATTTGGGTAAAGGAATCAATGCACTGGTTGACATTTTTTTAACACTTTAAATGGCCTTTTCATTGTGGGTCACTGAAACTTCTAAATCAGATGTGATTTCTTTGTCAAGATCCACAGTAGGAAGTCTATTTACATAAAAGTGTTACCCAGCCTTATTTTGAAACAAAGCTAACTTTGACACATACTCATGACTTATGGATTCATGAATGATCTCATTCTTTTTTCTTTAGAAATAAGAATTCTGTACACACTGAATTACCTCTAAAACTATCATTTATGTTTACCATAAATAGAGAAAGCTACCATGAATGACAGGGTAGATTCCCTACTATGCAGACATCTCAGGCTCTGACGGGGTGTGTGTGACATCTGTGACACCCAGGAGATGACAGGGGGCGAATGGTGGAATACATCCTCACTGTTTCAGCTCAAAGACACACAGGACATGGGGCCTCTTTACCCAGATATAAATTACAATCTTTAATATCTGAATGCTCCCTCCCCAGAAACCTTTTAACATCAGAGGACTAATTCTGCCACTTCAGGTTATTTGCCTTTTCAGGGCTTGGGTAATTGCTGAAATGAATAATAGTTGCAAATGGGCAACTAGAAATTTTGAAGTCTTCAGGTCTACCTTATTTTGTGGGATTTGAAATTCATGCTTTGCAGCAACTCTGACAGTAGTACATCAGCAGCCCGGTAAGGGTGTCAGCTATTCAGTCCTAGATTTCAGGACTTAAATCAGCACAGTTCATCAACTCAAAACTCAGTGCTAAGTTTTTTATGGAATTGTTGATTGCAAGGGAGCTCCAGACTTTGTAAGAATTTCTAGCCACTACTGCTCTTTGAAGAACAGCGCGTTCCTTCAGTCTGTCATGCCTTCAGCCATGCTGTGCTCTCACTGTCTTGATACTGCTTCATCTCCACAAAAGTGCCTTAGGTGGGTAGAGGCATCTGGTACCTGGCCAGCTGAGACTTGGGGTGTGAACCGAGTGGTTAGGAGCTGAGGGCAGACATGGAGGCTAGGCCTCTGACCCTCAGGTCCCATGTTCTTCACCGTGCTGAAGGATTGTATTTTCAGGTTTAAAATGCTCACTAAAATAGCAGCAGAGGTATTCTTCAGCATTGTAAACATCAAGAAAAATACAGCTGCAGATCTGTCTTTGGACTATAATTTACACATGTGATCTTATGATTTGATCATGCCTTAGAGATGTTGCAATCATTATAATCTTGGCAGGTTTATAACTGAATTGTGATCTCATATTAAACAACATTCACAAGGTGGCAGTGTGTGTCCTTTGGGTGAACACATCAGTGAAACAAAGTGAATAAAATTTACACTAAAGGACTTAAAGCAAGGTTAACTAGGAGACATCAGAGTCAAGGCTCTGTAGAAGTCCTTGTTAAGTTGCAGCTGACAATGTTCCTCTTGCTACCCTGCAATTCCCCTATCACCTTGCTTCTATGCTGAAGCAAGAAAAAGATGTTAGAATACTACATTTGCATCTTCTTTTTTAATCAATTTCTGTCAGTTATCTTACTTTTCACCTTTGTTTGCCCTAAAATTCCCCCTCCGTGTGTGTGTGGTGTGTGTCTGTCTGTCCGTCTCTCCCTCTCTGTCCATCTAAAGGCTTTCTTCTGGAAGGATCATAGTGTCCAACATTTGAGAATCTAAACGAAGGATGCCACCACATTTGTATTAGTGTCAGTAATAGAAGAATTCTGTGTCCTGTGAATACTTCACTTTTATATTTCACTCAAAAACTCCTACATATTTCTAGAGTTTCATTATTTTTAAGGAGAATAATCTCAAGTGCAGTTAGACTCCATTTATAAATATTTTAATAACCTAGGAAACTCAAATTTCAAAGGCTTGCTGTTGTAGAAAGCTGTCCTCCAGTACAGCATGACCTGTTGAACCCTAGGCAGTTGTGATTCCTGGCAGGAGACCTGCATGAGGATGGGGAGATGTAACCAGTAACAGTGTCCAGGTAGTGTGCTCTGTAGGCCTAGACCATCCTTGTGGGTGTATAATCAGTTAAGGTACTGACCGTTGAATATCTGAAACATGGCAAATCAGTGTAAATTAACTAGCCACATAGAGTAAGTGGTTTCCGTAATGTACCATTCCAGTGACGCTCATTTCTGCCGTTAATGGTGTGTGTGACCTGAAACACTGTCCTGGCCTCATCCCTATTCTATACTGAGATGATGCTCTTTCCCCTATCTATATCTTTTGTGGATACATTGATCTTTGTGATCAGACGCCACCCCCATTCCTTACTGTTTAAATATGTAGTCTGCAGGAAAATTTAAATCAAAAATCAAAATATCAAGATTAGCTCCTGCTGTTGTTTCTTAAGATAGATCACAGAATAGAAAGAAATGATTAACTCAAGCTGTTCTTTCTATGGCTTTGATTCTTATTTTCAAAACTGCCTGCCTGGCTGGTAGTTTCTAAATAACTACTTTAAATATGCAACCCAGTTAACTTGTTTTGAAATTGTTATTGTCTCCTCATTTGAAAAAAATACTCATTACAGACCTACTGTGAACCCAGAACCGTGCTAAGCATAGGGCTTAACAAGCACGTGGTCCCTGCAGAGTGAAATTGAATGGCAAAAATAGTGAGTAGTTAGTTATCCTAGTGATAAAGAATTATGAAGCCACATGCAGGATGAAAATGGAGGAATAATTAGTATCTGGTCCAGTGTGAAATTGTGACAATATTTGTCTCCAGTCCTTCATAGAATAGGGAGTTAGGAGTGAGGAGAAAGTTTCAGAGAGGGGACATTGCAGAGGTGGTCAGGGAGGATAACGCCATACTAGGATGGCTGGAGAGGCTTCAGGTCACCATGTAGCTACGGCAGGAGGATGGTCTGTGAGATGTGGTTCCCTAGTGAATAGTACCTGATTCAGGTGCTATCTCTCTGTGGAGCTTGTCACAGGAGTATGGCATGAATTAGTGTCGTTACTCCATACACATAGTCCTCCCTCTGCACTGTGCCAGTCGTGGGAAGACATGGTCATTTCTTGTCATTCTTTTTGTGCCCAAGAGTCTGAGGTAGACTTGATGTCTCTTTTCTGCTTCATGTTTCATGGCACCTTTGTCTCCTTAAGTGTTGTCCTTTCATGTTATTATTATCCTCACCTTTGCTTCCTTGGTTCAACCTGATCCTTCAGCATCTAGCAAAGAGAACAAAGTAAATATATGCTATTTGTTTTAGAGTGACTGTGATTTATCAGTACACAGTGCATCTTTTTTTTTTTTTGAAATGCAAAAGCAAGGTTTATTGGGTGCACGTTATAAGCTGGTAGGGATCTTGCCAGTGTAGCAGGGAGAGGAGGTACCCTACCTTTCTGGAGAGCATTATTTAAAGGTAAAACCAGAAAAGTTATTTTAGCAGGGTGTGTGCTGGCAGGCGAGCCTATCTACAATGGTTGGAACATTAATGATGGTCTGTTTTTGGGTGGTGCCTGAGTGGTATCAGTTTGTGGTCTTTCTTGCAACCAGGTATTGCCATTTAAAACTACTGAGACTCAGGCTTCTATTGAGCTTTTCATGGCTGGGTTCTACATTTCCTACTTCACAAGTAACAATGATAGGATTCAGTCATGGGTTTTACTTGCCCATGGGTTTAAGGAGATAGAATTGGGACCTAAGAATTTAGTTAAAAGATTTTTCTCGGGCAGTGGCCAGCCTACTAGGCCCTGTAGCTCTGATCTTTTGAGTACAACCAAGTTGTAATTATAATTCTGAATGTGCTCTTTTGTTACGTGGTTCTGCATAAAGAACCAAAGTGTTTTTTTAATTGTAGGACCATTTTAGTTAGTAAATCCATTAATTAACAACTGTCGGCCTATTTTTTTCTAGTATATCAATAGGCACTATAGGTAGCCATTTTGTCTCCCATGCCAGAGAGTTTCCCGTTGTCTCAGCATTTCTACCTATTCTGGGAAGGGAGGGTGGGACGATGTGAGCCTTTCTGAAACTACTTCAAGCTGACATTGGGGCATTGTTATCAGGGCCCAAGTAGGCTGCAAGGCTAGCCAAAGGTAAGGAAGGAATTCAGGCAATGGGGTACTCAAAAGATGCATCTGGTTTACAGACTCTGTTGAAGAGACAGGGAGCATTCACATCAGTTGGACTGGTCCACATCAGCTTTCAGGAAGTCCAGGCCTCAGTCATTCAGAGCAGGTTGTAGTCATCAATTGCTGATTAGATGTATCTGCCAGCCAAGTGAAAGACTATTGAGATAAGTTAAAACCAAGAACAGAAGTTAAAATTTATGTACTTAAAGAAAATTAATAATTTTAGGCCCATATTGAAAACGATATTGTAGAAGAAAAACAGATAACGGATATTTATTTTTTTTTTAGCTTTGCAAAATCTATTTTTTTATTTAATCTACAACTTTAAACATTTTTTTTATTTTTTTACATCCTTTC